ACTCTATTGACTTGTAACACAGCGCTTGCCACTTTCTTGTATTCGTGTGACAACTTCGTGGTAGCCATCTACATGTTCATTTGGGACCAACAACCAATTTTTAATATCGACTCTCTTTGTTCATTACGTGCCTACATTCATCATGCAACAATAGCTGCAATTCATCATTCGTTCATCTTACAAGCAATAGAAAAGTATGCTAAAATTAAGAGATTGACATTTCTAAATAGTTCTAGTGGTAAAGTGACTATTGTCCTTTTTCAATGGATATTTGATGTGACTTTCAGTTTACCTGTCTACTTAACAGACAACATGCCAAAATTTCGTACAGAAAACGTATGTTTTGTCTCAATAACAAAACCTGCTTTTTTAATTTGTATGGCATCAATAACATTTCTTTTATCAGATATTACTCTTTCTGTTCTCTATCGTCGTCTAGTAAGTCACGTACGTGAAGTTTCAACGAGAGTACATAGTAGTCAACGACGACTACAAATGCGTCGTGACTTAGCAATGGTTCGACGTATTATATTGATTAATTCTCAATTAGCTCTTGTGGACATACCAGCAATTATTTTCATACTATTCAGTATAATTCGTCCTGATCTTTCACCATACAAGTGGATGCGCCTGTTACTTTTGAGTTTGAACGCAGCATTATGTCCTATGCTCGTTATTGTTTTCTGGATAACGCCAAATCTACGACAAAGTCTTACTAAATGTGTGAACAAAACAAAGCTGCATTTACTAATGAATGGCAATCGTGTTAGACCAATAACAGAACGCCCACGGTTTTAATCAAAATTGTTTGAAATATTTGAAGAACTATTCTTTTCTTGAGAAAAATATCAAATAAAAAGTTTTATTTAATTCTGTTTTTGTCTTTCATGATCTTGGAATTTGACACGCACATTACATCAATCTTCATTTATAGATTAGAAAGGTAGAAAAATCTTATTTAAATCATTCAAAATCTTTGAGATTATCATAATCTAGAAAACCATATAAGCAGTTTTCAATTCTTGTTTTATTGTGCTGGCACTCAACAGTTATTGAATCATTCATTAAGTAATGATCATTAATCTGGCAAAGGAGTCATGTTAGATTGCTCTTTTCAACATTAAAACTAATCTAATGAGTATGGTAGAACATTTCATGCGCCAATTTAATTAGTAAAATCATATATAATTCTAGGGTGTTTGAAATAGTTAACATGTGAAGAATAGAGAATAAATAGTCTCTAAATGGACTATAGTTGCCTCATGAATTGAGGGTGGCTGTGGGTGCGGGTGTATGGGTGAGGGTGTGGGCGTTGGCGTGGGTGTGGGTGTGGGGTGGGTGGGCGTTGGAATGGAGGTGTGGGGGGGGGGGTGGGGGGGGGGGTGGGGGGGGGGGGGGG